CTTGTCAACCATATTTCTAGACAATATAACTATTTAAAGACAGATGATGCGAAACTGTTTTCCTTTGATTTTGATTCGGTTTTCATTACAGTCAACGCAAACCAATTCAGAATATGGTGAATATTCTCCTGAAGAGGGAATAAAACATTACAATGTATACAAAAATCACACCACATACGTACAATTCAAAAAAATCATTATTATCAGAAATGATTACCGAAGCAGTAACGCATCGTCCAGATTCAGTTGTCAGTATACTAATGAAACCCTAAATCTGGACGAAGGATGTCTTGGAAGCCATCAAGTGGTTGCTTCATTTAGCTGAGGCTACAGTAGCGTACAAGCCAATGGAATCACAATGAAGGCTTCTTTGCAAGTCGAAAAATCGATTTCGAACTGTAAAGATGTTTCATCATATTGAGTTTGATAGTCTGATTTCTGAATTCCCGAAAGGATCCATGAAAACCAGTTGGTATATAGAAGATACAATCCTTTTCCTTTGACCTCACTCCATCGAGGTGAGGCATTAAAAATCGAAATCAGTATGAATTGAGTATGGTTTTACCCTCAGTGTCAGTACTAAAGCACGACGAACAGCAGTGAGTGTACATTGAGAGGATTGCTGCCGAGAATAGCTGTTTGGGATACTTGACCTCCTATGGGTATCTCCGGGGGGCAGTGCGGGTGGATTGTGGACTAAATATAGTCAGTCGACCACTAAACTCGGCGTGGTTAATATGAAGAAGGCTGATAGTGTTAGCTTCATAATGCGTGGGTAAAAAAGCGCTAGGGCCACGTCTACAAATACCAAAAATGCAAGCATTGAGGTCATGTAGTGTGAAAACCAAGTGCCTTGACTTTTCAGCTTTCATCCGCGTTATCATTGTTACTGAATTATATCAGAAGGGAGAATAAGATCAATCCTTGAAGTTAAAAAGCGTTCTAAGGTTACAAAAGCTCATCGCGCTTACTTGAGACTGATACTGTGACTTATATCTTACTTGTAAGCCTAATATTGGCGTACTACTTGATCGATTGGATAAATGCATGTTGATGTAGATGGGAGTATTTCACACGGATCCTTATATGTCTGGCCACTCTAAGATGGGTTGATCACAGACTCCCTGAAAGTTGTGGAGGCGTGTGACGTAATTACTACTTACTAAGTGAGCTCTGATGAGTTAAAACTGACAATTTTAAGGGAATGATAAGATTAACTTTCTTAGCTGAGCAGTAAAAGTATGCCCGGGATATGGTATACGTTTTTATTTTAACTGCATTGCTAAACTACTTGTAATACTTACTATAGGCCATCATCTGATGCCAATTTCGGAATATAAAATGAAAAATGGTTTATATAAATTGAAAAACGCCTTTGACTATGAGATTTGGACCGAAAACGAAAACTTTCATTTGGAAAATGTGTTAATTATCATACACCCTATACTCATCACACTGTGTATTCGTTTGATCACGTAATGCGTTTTTACCTTCATTATCAAACTTAGAGCTTGAACATTATCAAAATTCAAAGAATTTGGGTGCCTGAATACATGTTTCTTCTTCTGAATAGTAGGATGGACGCTTTTTTTCGCTCAAAGTTTGGAACACAATAAACAGGCTGAAATTTTACCGACTGTCACTCTCATCCGTTCAAGCTGCGTTGTGAAAATTAATTTTTCATTTCTGTTTATCTAAATGGTAATTATTCCTTTAGGTCTTAAGTGGAACATAGGGCCTTATCAGCACATCTCCAATTCATCCTCTTCTCTGTCGTCCTCTTCGACTGACTCAATGATTTTCCATAAGCTCTCGTCCCCTCCTCACAAGATTTCCTCCATGCCACCCTCAGGCTAACATCCAACACGTCATTTCTCATTCTATGGCCTGCCACGCAATGTCACTCAGTGGTCTTTTCAGCATGTGTTCAGTCAACCTTGATTTTCTCCATCATACTTGTTTGGCAGCAGGCAGTTGGCTGGTTTGTTCTCAGAGTTTCTTGTTGCCGATCCTTCCTAGCCAGACATCTGGCCTTTAATATGGAGTGTGGGCTGTTGATGAAAGTCTGAAGTCAGTTCAAAATGCTATTCTTGATGTGCCAAATCTTTGTCCCACACACAAGAACTAGCTTGGTATTACTGTCGAAAATCTTATTCTTTATGCGGAGTGCAACTGATTTCCACTCTGATTTAAGAGAAACGAATGTCTGTCTTGCCTTTCCGATCGTGATTTTGACGCCTTTATCAGTATCGCCTGTAGCTTAAAAGATTCCGTCTTGAAAAGTGAAGGAAGTGACCTCTCTGGAATTTCTCCTAATGCTAATGATTGGTGCTTGTTGTTATCGTTGGCTGGCTACCTTCACTACCTGTGTCTTCACTTGAAGTCCTGTCTTTGTTGCTTCTTCTGTGAGTTTGCTGGTTTTCGCCAGTAAGCATTCGAGTTTGTGCGACAAACATAAGTTGTTGGCAAAATCCAGATATTCTAAGGTCTTCCTGTTGGTCCAGCCTATTCCTCTGTCATCGCTCCCCAAGGTCAGCTGCATAGTCCACTATAGTGCAATCAGGGAATATCATCGGTGATAGTAGGCAGCCTTGTATTATCCCTCTCTTCACTTCTAAGTGTTCTCTTAGTCTTAATTAATTTCACCAAGACGCAAAATTATATATCCCAATATATAGATAAATCTTCTAGGGAATGTACAGACTATTCTACTACCACCAAATAAATCAGTGGAACTTTTATAAAATGAGGGTTAAACTGACCAAGTCTATTATAAAAAAGGAACAATTAGTCGGACGATGAAATAATTATTCATGAATTATTATTCCATGAAGGGTTCCAAGCTAAAACATAACATTTTTTGACTTCATATCATCCAATTTAAATCCATAAAGGCAAGCTTGAACAGATCTTTAGGTAGTTTCGAGACACAGCTAAGAAGTCAACTTAAGCAGTGAAGAAAGAAAAAGGAAGCATCATTGCTAAATAACTGTCTCATGCAATCCATTTTGTAGGCCATAAAATCTCGCTGAGTAAGAAAATATAGATATGAAAGTAGTGACTTTATCATTAGTTGAAAAGAAATTTGAGACCTCTTTAGTGTGACCAAGTTTGAAGCCTTATTTGGAATTACTATCAAGGTGGTATTCACAACATTAAAGCTACTGATTGCAACATGTTCAGTGGGCTCTTTGGCTTTAATAATCAGAATATACGACATAAATGATTATTAAATGACCTTAGAATAACTGTAAGGTTGAGAGAATAGGTCAGGTTAATCACTTGTCTTGTCAAAACATCGGAGCTTAGCTAAGAAGAGAAAATCAAGCTAAGTTGGTACAGAGGTTTATCACTGAATCACTGTCCATCGAATTATTGCCTAAGATATGCAACTGGAAATGATACCAGCCGAATACCGGGAACATGGAAAATTTTCACTAACAGAGCCAAAGGAAGAGAAGTTACAAAATGGTTCAAACGAAGTTGCAAGAAAATGCTGATATGTCTGTAAACAGTAAATGATGCCGGAAAAGACACCATCAAATAAACTACAGACAAAATTATTTACTTGTGGAGTTAAGAATTACTGCTGTACCTAATTTCCTCTTTGAACACATGACTCTGCCGACTGCGTTCAAGTTTATCTTGTGACTTAGTATAATCGGAGGCTTTTAGGGATATAACGAAGCATAGTAGTCGTTCTGTATTAGGTAATTTATTCAGCCAGTGTTACTAAACATACACCAATTAGAAAGAAAGTTGGAACAGGACAGAATTTTGATGTCATATAATCTTAGAAATACTTCCTAATGACATTTTTGATGATTCAGTTTATTCTCTACAAAACGTCAATTCTTGAAAATACGCCTCAGCAGCAATTACCAAATAATTCTGCTTTCAGGTTTGTACAATAACAAGACGCTTATGGACTATCACACTAGCGTTCAATTTCAGTGTACACAAAGTGACATTTGTTAGGAAACCACTGGAAAATGTGGAGTGATCGATTTTTGCTCTCAGCCTGAAACTGGCTAAACACGTGAGACAACTAAGACTAAGTTCAGACTTTCCGTGAGCTCATCGTTATTTAGTTGTTAAGTTATTATTTATTACTCATATTTCCAAAATTCTGAATAAACATGACATCTTTAAATGCCTAATACTTGTCTTCTTATGGTTCACAGTTATGATTTCATGAGATACACCTAAAAGCCCGAGATACTTATTTAACTAAGGGGTTGATTGGCTTGAAAGAAGATAGTTTTAACGGAAAGCGGTTACCGGTAAAGTGGACCAGTTTAGCTGCACTAGACGCTTATTGCTCTATGATATCAGTTCACAAAAGTTGGAAGGCTTGAATTATAAGACTGTAACCAAGTGTTTGCATCGGTGGTATAGCGGTTAGGACGCTCACCGACCATGCACATGGTCCGGATCCGATCCCCGGCAAACTCACTCGTTTACCTCGCTAAGCCAGAAATAATCCTGGTAAAGACGAAAGGTTGGGCATGAGGCTAGCAACCCTATCCTGTAAAATAAACACTGCTGTAGAAACTTCAAGCCACTAGCTTGAAGCCCTATGTTCCACTGGGGAACGTGAAGAAAAAAAACCAAGTGTTTAAATGTCAAGCTTCTGATCAAGAGAACTGATGCTTATTTGACTGGCTTTGAGAAGGCGCTAATAAAAATGGTATAAAAAAGTTGAAGTGAAAAGTTTCCAGGCTTAAATTGGTTGAAAACTTAGATCGAGAAGTATTTAGGCTTTGCTCACAAGCCGAATTAAGCAATAATACTTATAAAATGCTAGGACATTTGTGACAATTAGCATTTTCAGGTAAATATATATAAGGCTAATTTATAAACCACCCCCAAAAATAATCCATAGTCCTTCACTATAATTATGAACAGATGATAGGTTTGGATTAACAAACCAATCAAACAACATTGAAAAGTAAGATAAAATAAGAAATTACAAACTATATCGCACACATTAGTGAGTTGATTCATTTACAAAAGACAAAGAAATTAATGAAACACATGCTTCGAAATTGCCTCAGTTGTCTGTGCCTTTTTTATTTCATTTCCGTAAGTTACAGTCAGGTAATATACACATTTTCCTAGATATTTTGCTTTGGGGATAAGAGCAATTTATTTTCACAAGACAAATGTAGTAAACTGTTTAGATACAGGCTATGCAGGCAGTAAATACTTACATAAATCATTGTGTACCTGCGGATCTCATTTGTAATTTGCGGTATCCAAATTGTAGAACCATATTTACCATTCCCCAACATTCAATGAGGAACAAAGGGCATTATGCTTGTGCCCTGGATATTCAGTAGCAGTGATGTTCTTATTATGGAGAGGGGTCACTAGTGTCACATCCAACCATTCTTTTTTATTAGGCTTACTATCAATCATGAAAGGTTTAGGAATGCTCACTTTTTGTGTCAATGTTGAGGATTCTACCACTAAACTGCCAATATACAACTGTAGAAGTTGGAATGGTTTAAACTAGGTGCCTTCTCCTAATAGATAAAATTCCGTCCTGTGCCACAATGAGCAAATGCCCAGTCTAAATGATCTTCATACTGGTGTTTGGATTAGTCACTAGGACAACGTACACATGTTAGCAGCTCTAGATTGTCTTCAACGACGACTACAAATTTTGTGAGCATGCATGATTCAATGTGGTATACCCTTGCTAGCAGATGATAACTATAGATTACTTTGAAAGTAAAACCTGTCCAATTCAAAAATAAATAAAAACCAAGAAGACAATTTATAATATTCACATTTAATCTTTTTTTCAGTTCATAACATACACCAAGGCAGAATCTGCGTAAGTTCCATTTTGTCCCACTCTTCGACCAATTTATTATATAAATATTCAAACTACAGTAATCCTTGAATTTGACAAGATAAAAAACTCAGGTGCCAAGTGTATGCTGTACACTGCAAGAGTGAGCAGACACCGATCAAATACACTGTAAAGTCGAAATGGTCTCGAGTAGGGAACAGCATCAGATACAGAAGAAAAAAACTGGAAACCGATGAGTATTAAATGTGATTAGGCTGACTACTTGAAGTACCATTACCTGTTTCTGAAAACACTGGCTAAAAATTATTCCATTTCTAGATGGACCTGACATTTCCGACCTCTATGGAATGAGAAAGACAGTATGTATTCCCAGAGAGATGCTTCTCAACAGAAAACAGATGCTTGGTGCTTCTTGATTTCTAGTGTTTCGTTACATGACATTGATTTATGTTATTAAGTAACCTGAAGTTAATTAGTTCCACATAAAAATTTAAACTTTTTGTAAAAGGAAGAATGTAACACGAAAAGCTGGTCCATCTATGTATAAATTTTATCAGTTTATCTAGGTTGGCAATGAAAAGTACCGATCTGAGATATCAGTAGTTTGTTTACAATATGGACACCAGAGAATAAAGAGATAAATTATAAATGTTCAGCTCTCTCGTTAAATCAGTAACCTTCTGAACTGTGTAGCGAGACTTTAAATGACTGTTTTCCGATTTGAATACTGCTGGAAAGATAAAAGTAGTAGCTATCATAGTGTAGTGCACAAATCCGGACATATGTAAGGGCTGCCTAACAAGCTCAATAACATAACAGGTATGTGAATACAAATCAAAGTTAATGAGAGGATAGTGTAACAGTATATCATAAAAAATACAGTAATGAGTTATATTAATTAAACGGTTACATGTATATTTAGTTAAAGTTCAAGGAAACAAATTGTCAATATAATCCACCGAAGCGTTCACTGCTGGAATCGTGTCTAATGGTAGAAGCTGTGTACCGGTTGTAGAATTGTCTCCGCATGAGAAAAAGAAATTCCTGCAAAAATCCAAAGTATACAACACGGTTATGAATGGAACAAGTAGATAGTATTATCCATCGAGAAGAAAAGACGACCAACAATAAACTTTATTTTAGATAGTACTCTGAAGTTATCTATACTCAAACATGAATCGTTTTAAACAAAAATCATGTACAATGTCTCTAATTTCAAAATCTAACGAAAAGGTGTACAGTCATATTGTTACGTACTCCACACATAGTTTATTAAGTAGTTATTAAGACGAAACGTTATTACCCAACCACTGGGTCAGTCAGAATCTGATAAATAATGGCTTCTTCTGAATAACACTACGCTTTGTTAAAGCCAAACTATAGGATTAAAATTAGTGAGCATTGCGAGTAAAATCTAAACTAACTTTTTTTCGGAGTTGACTGTGATGATGTGGAGATTAGTGGTAAAGTTGACAATTTACGATAAAATTTACTTCCAGAAGACTGAAAACGGCAAATGTCGTCATATTTGTCTAGCGTGTGAGATACTGGTTGCTAATTTGATGTCTCAATTAGTTATCGCTACTCACAAAGATTCAGTTAAAGAGGACAAACAAATCTGGATTAGGAAGAAACACGCATCTTAGACTTCATTGCTTGCTATCACCAATCAAATAACATCAAGTTAAAATCACTGCGTCACCGGGGCGTTGTATTAAAGACAGTAGGATCCAAAGAGAATGATCAAGCGTTGAACAAAGTTTCTGAAAGATTGACTATCAATACATAACACTTAACAAAGGTGGAAAATCCTTGTGAGCTATTCATTCATTTCAAAGTCTTTTTAAAACATTGCCTTACCAATAAAATATAATCCAAGCCTCATTATATTAGTCATTGGTCCATTTTAAACAAATTTACATTTCTTGTTTTCTTTATAGATTTGGAAAAGAACGTATTTTCTTCCACTTTTTAACTGGAAATGGGTCATATCACACACCAAGAATTTACCCACAATATTTGATGGATGCTCATAGGCTACATAAAGCAATTATCAAAAAAAGTAAGAGTTTTGATAACTGTTTAGATAGATATTACATATATCACGATATCCTCTGTTATCTTGATTATTAATATGAGTAAAATCGTCAGCAGTTACTTTAGAAAAAGTCAGTTATTTGAATACGTGGCCATGTAGGTTGCTGGAATAAAAATACTGTATCCACCAGCCTGTTGGCTTTATACCTTGCGGAGATCTTTTGAAAGTCAGTGTTTAATATTCTGAGTGTTACAGTTTATCTATAAACTCATCAACCACTATGCCAACTAGGCCTAAATGGAGTCAGAATATCCTTTTGACTGAACAAGGGTTAACCAGTGATCAGGGATAGACAGGCTTATATGGTGATTATTCAGAATATGCCTGTTGTTTCATAAAGGCATTATAATGTTCTACAAAAAACATGATTCTCTCGATTGTTCTTCATAATATATCAGTAGATTTACCTCTAAAATTAGTATTGAAATTGGTATATTCACGTTGCACCACAGCTATTCATGATTTATGATATTTCAACTTAGTTTAGTTTCAATTGCTTAGTAATTATGCGGTAAAATATTCATTCAAAGAAACTCTTTCTTTTTCAAACGCTGCCGCTAATAATTTTTTGAAAACACGGTCGAGGCATTCGTCCATAATTTCACCACTATTTAACTGAAGACAACACTGAACGAGGCATCAAAACATCTTAAGAAATAGCTCGGATTTTAAAACAAACTTATCTATTTCATGTGAAAACATAAACTTCAGAGAATCAGTAATACGAATGCTTGATAATACGAATGTCAGACATCTTCAAATGCTTTTTATGATAAACATTTCTCAGATATTGAAAGTTTTCGTATTCGCCAGACTGATTGAAAAGTAAACCGATATTGTTTTTAGTGCCGTTTCACTATTTAAGGTTAGTAGCTTTACAAGATTATTACTAAACCAAAAATTTACAAACTCTGAGCTTATATATAACAACTTAATCAGTCTTCATCATCCTGAGATAATTTTTAAGTTGTCAAGTTGACCAATTGGTAAAGATGACAAAATCAGGTGTAGATTGTAGGATTCAAAAAGCGTATGAAGTTATAAAAACAGCATGCGTTTACACAATGAAACCGTTAATCACATTTGTAATAATTTTGTCACTTCATACGGTGTGTGGTGTTGCAGCCAGGTCAAATTCTGCTTTAGTCCATCATTCCTAATCAGAAAATATGGCTTTCATTGGATATGGAGGGTTTCTGATATAAGACGTCCTTTGTAATTTCCAAAATATTTTTTGGATTGTCTTAATATTGTGAAAATCAATTCTGTGGCCTGATTCTATGACGTGCAGATATATGGCTAATAATTCAGTTGTTATACCTAGGCTTAAATTTTGTAAATTCTGGTTTAATAATACTTTGATAAAGCTTTCAGCGTTAAATAGCGAAACGTCAGCAAAAGTAACAATATCATTTTGCTTTGGATTCACTGGGAAGTGCAAAAACTTTTATAATAATGAATCTCACGTACCCGATGACCAAATATTTTCATATTGTTAAAAGTGAACTTGGCTTGGACATGCATAACTTAAAAGTCATTCATAAATAATCGGTTATCCAAACAACTTAAAGAGAACTAGAAAGTTAATAATAAGCAAGTCTGATAAGGTGGAGGTATAATGTTGTTAGATAAAAGTGATTACGTGGAAAAGGAATCTATTTTGGATAGTCTAACTAAATTCCAATCTTCATGAGTAAATTTGAACAAAGCAAGAACGACAGTTTTACCAGGATAATCTGAGCACATTTTTTATTATTTCGTGGATTTTTTCCAACTGGTTTCAACCTGAACAATACTAAAATTATAAATTAAAAATCTGAACATACTTTTTTCCACTGATAAGGAGTAATTGATTGGGAATAAGAGTAACACTGGTCAAGTATGATTTAAATTGTCAAATAATTAAGAATGAAAAATGACTATTTACAGAAGATCTGAAGTCAATCAACACTGACATTAAGTATGGTCGAAAACGTATCCCGAAAACATGGACCTCAACGGTTATCATTCCACATAGAGCAGAGACATCAGACTATATCAGAAGAGTACTCAATAAGCTCGACATCTGAGTTTTCTTCAAAACATCAGACACACTGCGAAACAACCTTGTACCAAAAGATTCTCTATCTAATTGTGTCTATAAAACAAAATGCTTAGAATAAGATGCGATATACATCAGACAAACATCGCGAGAAATCAAAATCAGAAGAAACTAACACCGTAGAGCGTCTGTTCGACCACCCAGAAATCCAGATGAACTGGAAAAGCTTGAAAAATCATAAGCCAACCATTAGTCTACACATCATCGAATCAGGCCGCAAAATCGATTTTGACAATCTTAAAAGAATCCAGAAAAATTTCAGAAATCACAAAGAACGTCTGATATCAGAAGCCCCTTATATCAAATGGAATGTAAATTGTCTGAAATGGAATGATGGACTTGAACAGAATTTGATCTGGTTACAACACCTCCGCCCGAACCTCCATGAAATGACAAAATCAACACGAATGTGATAAGCGATTTCATTATGTAAACACACGTTGTTTTTACAATTTTTCACACTTATCACATCCAACAAATCTATACTTGGCTTTGTTATCTTTACCAATTGGCCAACTTGACAACGGAAAAATGACCCCATGCTGTGAAACGATGATTGGGTTGTTATATATAAGCTGAGTGGATTTTGTAAATTCTGGTTTAATAATACTTTGATAAAGCTATTAGCAATAAATAGTGAAATGTCAGTAAAAACAATATCGTTTTGTTTTTCATTCATTGGGAAACATAAAAGCGTTCAAAATGATGAACATCACGTACCCATTGCGAAGTTTTTTCAAACTGTTGTACATATATATAAAAAGATGTTATATAAAGAACAGTCCTGCTTTGGCTGGATATCAGTTAAGACCATATGACGTTAAGTGATATATAATTGATTAAGGGTGCAGATCGACATCTATGCAAAAGTATTCAGCAATGGCTTCAAGTTAACCAAACTAACTAAACATGTAAAACACTTTCTTGGAACTTAATTTCTCATATCTTGGATAGTCTATTTTTTCTGTGGTAGATACCGATCAAAGTTATTCACACCGTAAATAAATTATTATCATCTACTAGGATTCAAATATACCGAACTGGTGTTTCGAAAAAAGACGAAGTTTGCATCCTAGATCCAACTGTCAGCTATCATCAAATCTTTTGCTTTCCTTCCCATTTTTAATTAAATATATTCATTTCTTTTCTCGTTTTGTTTCTTTGATAGATGCTGATATCATTATATGTATTCTGGGCAGACGAACAAATTATGAAAGACAAGAAATCAAAGATTATTATACAAAATTTTATGTTCAAGTGAGCTATGAGTTCTGATAATTTATTAACTATAGATTGTTTTACTTTAGTAGTTTATACTGTGAGTAGCAAATTATTGAGTAACTATCCCAAATTAGCGGAAATCTCTAACTTATTTGATGCACTGAACTTACATTATCTATCATCTCTTAAAGCCTGAACATAAAGTAATATCAGCAGATTCCATTAAAGGATTTGCATTACAGGTTAATTATAAGTGCGAACCATCACTTTGTTTTAAAATGAATTTGAATAGTTATCTACAACTGTGAAGTTTCTAAAGTGTTTCTTGTTTGTTAATATTTCGTAACGAAAATCGCTTTCAGATTGGTTGTCTTCATATAAATTTCATTATGAAAACTGCTTTCACGATGGGTATCCGTAAACTCATATAGATCAGTGAGTCAAGACGTGAATGCACATCCACTGACGGAGGCAGAAGACTTGAAGGCCTTGAAGGTTACTAAAGGCCAGTCAGGAAAGCAACAGTACCGGATGGCATTTTGTTAAAAGTACTAAACACGGAGCCAGAGACCCCAATCAACGGCCTCATGTCACTAGTGCAGATTGTGTGGAAGGAACGAAAGGCACCTACAAGCGAATTAGGTCTTCGCAAGAACTGTAGTAGAACAATTCTTCTGGCCATTCAAAGGAAGACATTAAGCTGAACCATCTTGGGGTGACTAAAGTATACCATGGATAGAAGACCGCACAGGATCGAGTAGATTTTGGTGAAACAAGTCAAGCGTGGACCAAATTTCAACACCACTCATCATGATCGAACAGAGCCTAGAATTGCAGTCAACTGCCTAACTCAGCTTCATTTAGTCTGAAAATGATTTCGACTGCATCGACTATGGAGCGATTTGACGACTATTTCAACATCGCAGAGTGTCCGAGTCTTCATAAACCACATTCGGCAGCTTTATGATGATATCACATGTCAGATGATTCAAGATTGAAAACCCAACGAAGCCTTTAAAGTAAAGACATCAGTGAGACAAACTGCCTACCAGCACAGTTGAAATGATTCATATTGCTGATGTAATAAATAAATATCTTTGCCACTACTAGAACGGCCAAACAAATTCAGGGTCATTCGTCAGTTGTTTTAACCGTAATACTTATAATATTGTTACTCTGTTTCCAACAGCGCAGTATTTGTGAAGTTGAAATACTACAAAATTGATTATGGAGGGCTCTAAGTGATTTCAGAAATTTAAACAATCGTTGCCCTTCTAGTAAGCTTCAAAATCAAATGTTAGTCATCTTTTCAGAATACCACCTTTTTAGTAATTCTGAGTGATTCACCAATGTCAATGAGCATGTCTGATTTAGTTATAACCTTTATAAAAGTTCCCTCCAAAAACATCATCTACTCTGCTTTTGCCATTCACTATAATTACGACTGAAATCTAAACACTTGATCAAGTAACCTATGTAATAATGTTAAACAGACTGTAAAGTATCACGTATCTATATGAAAAGTAGGAAAAGCCCATGATGATTGGAATGAAGTAGAATTTCGACTGATGTAGGTTTCCTGTATCTTGCATCGCAAAGGGGTGACCGGGAATTTTTTAGGACAGTGATACAAGTTATCCTGCTGCGCTAGCATTCTCAGTTAAATGTAAATGCGTTAAAATTAGTACGATTGTAATTAACTTAGGCTACAGATGTGATCAATCTTCATTAATTCCCTTCTTCTTCAACGAGAGTATTAGAAACCCGACACTCTAGTCTGCTAATCCCACTAGCCAAAAAGTGGTAGTACATTGACACATTTAGCCTTTAGGGCAAAACATTTGGTCTATTGAGATTGAATATTTAATACAGACTCCTATACAGCTATATTTCTGACAGTTGTCAGATTGAATAAGACTAATATACTCCAAAAAGGTTAGAAGTAATTTTCAAAAGTTGTGAAGTGAAGGCCAACATGTGATTGATGTTTACGGAATAACTGATATCACAGTGAATCGTTCTTGGTGCCAAGCAAGTTTTATTTATCATCCATTAAAAGATTTCACTAAATTATGAGATTGTATACTGTGACACATCAATAATTGATGTCTAGAAGTTCAATATGATCATATCCAGGTTTCGTGTATGCTGACACTTGTCAGGAAATTGTAGTCGTATTCATTTAGAGAAGTTAGTGCTGCAGTTGAAAAAAATGTCATCACACTGCACAGTGAATTAGTATATTCAGTGAATGCTGAGGTCTTTACAACATGACATTGGTTGTCTTTTAATAATAAACTAAACTACCTGATACCTGAACATAAGTTATGCCCAAAATAGCTATCTTAAAAATTTTCTGAATTCTTTATTTAGTGATGTAATGTCGTAGCCTTTAAAGAGTCAATTATTTCACTGAGGTTGGAATAAATGCTCAATATTTGGGTCCGAAAAGATTTAAAACCACTTAATTTTAGCAGATGTGCATAAAGTTTCCTAATATTAAAAAAATGAGATTCTCCTTTCAGACAGATTTATTTGATGTAACTAAAAGTGATGCAATAAATTATGATGTTCTTTTTTTTGAACGCACTTTGAAAGGATTCTAAACCGCTAGTAATTTCCACTTTTCAGACTCTTGAACAGCGTATGAGTCGACTGTCTGATGAAAATTTCCGAAATCTTGTTTTAAGTCTCCTGAAAGACTTACCGAATTATTTAGCTGAATTACTTCGTGTTGCATTATACTCTGATAAATTTTCTACTGTTACTTATACGTCGATTGGTTTATGGAATGTTGAAGCATTCACAGTTAAGGAGATTTATGATAAGAGTAAGTGAACAGATTCAGTTTTTGTATTTCTCACCAGACGTTTAAGTTAACATACATCCGGATTTTTGGCAAGTTGACACTGGATAACAAACATCACACTCGACTTAAGAAAATCGAAGGGGAAACAATCCCTTACTCCGTGATATTGTTTTGTATCCTGATTATCAAAATGAGAATAGATAGCATACTGTATAATATCATTCGGTAACGACATTAAGCTTCACAGTCATAAGTATTAAAGAAAAAATGGGCAGCATCGGAGAGTAGGAGAAGACGTGAATAAAAGTGAAGTAGGAAGTGCTTGAGTGAGGAACATAAATTTTATTGGCTCAAATGAGATGAGAGCTAATTGTGTGATATTTTCGCAGTAGTAAGAACGTTCAGTATTAGGTAGTTAAACAAAGTGCACAGGAAGCCTTAGATATGGGTCCCATACTTGCTAGAACAAATGTCCGAGGCGTGACCGCAATCTTAAAGGAACTGATTTTCCCTCAGAGATTTTAACTCCCTTCAGGGAATTCATCCTAGAACCAGATAAAAGTGCTCTTATTAGATGGACATCATTTCAATTGTCTACAATAGTATCTTCAAAATGTATGTCAAGGAGAAGGTTTTCAGTCACAATCTTCATTAAAATATCAAAAGAATAAAAAGAAAGGCGAACTGAATGAATAAACACTTTTTGTACAATTTCGATGGTTTCAACTTTTAGGTGAGAACATATTCTACAGAATAATCAATAAACACCTGTGTAAACCAAACTGAAATAGGAACTGGTTAAATCATTTCGATTGTCATTTACGTAATTCGTTAAAACAATTGTGTACATGATGTGCGCGCATTGTGCTACCTAAATGACTAGCCCCACAATCCACAGAAGTTGGACGTCTTGAGATGATGCTCTGGTTGACTTTGAAGTACCTTTCACAGTAAACCGTCACAAAACAGATATCACTGAAAATTAAATTGGGAAGATAGGTAATTTGTTTTGGTTTAGTCTTTCACAAGTACATAAGCATGATGTGAGAGTGTGAAAGGTTGTAATAATGTTGCTACTTCTAATACTACTACTTATCTAAGTACCAGCAGTTTTAATTGCACTATCAATGTCACTAGTTTCAAAGACGGTTTTAAATAAATATTTCAGTTAAAATGATCCCGAATGCCTGTGATTCCCATTTTTAGGGGAAATAAAGAAGTACACCCTCAAGAAGTTATTGCAGACTACAAAAACCTCATGTACAGATCTTAATTATGTTCTATTTTGACTAGACGACTCAGCAAAAAGTATTAAGCTATATAGCAGACTTATCCCTGGTCATTTAGATATACAGATGACGGAAATAACCTGATATTAGAAGGCAGGATTCATCAAATATTAAATTTAAGCGGTGAAATTTGTAATGAATGAATACCAACCAGGAAAACACTTAATACCAAAATGAACTGGAAGGGGATTTGTGTATGGTAGTCAACAATAGGAAGACAAGGAGAAACGAAATCAGAAGCTTGTCTCTATTAAGCTCTTTAGCATCCAGTTTCCATACACGGATTAATAAGCACATGTTTTTAAACTTCTGTCAATTCATAATTCAGTGCGACCTACGAAAACAACAATTTATTGAAGCATTCCGCTAAGAATGTCTTTTTTACATGGGAAGGTGTATAAATGTCACATCAATAAACATTAAGATGTAATGAAGACGACACTTGCACTCATGGATGTAGTTGGCCTAGTATTGGTGAAAACACACACGGTACATCAGTGTCTTTAAATATCATCCATTTAGATCTCATTTGAATAGTGACCAGATTATTAATAATTACAATGTTTTCAGCTACTCAGTTATCGTATGCATTAATTTATTTCCAGGCAATCAAAGTGATTTACTGAAAGATATTACAGAAACAACATGTGGAGAATACCAGAATGGACTAAAATGCTTATTCACAACAAATCGTGAAAACATACCAATCCAACGCAAAACTAAGGATGATAATGTACGTTGGACCCCTGCTGTCTATCCAGAATCAGCTATGACAGATGCCAAGGTTTTATATGAGTCTCTTCACAGGTAATATGTGCATTATGTTTATTTCTTTATAAAATGGAGACAACTTTATTGGTTAAAAAATGAAAGCCAAACTCACTGCTTTCATGTTAAACAAGTTGTATGAATGATTACCATCAATATGTAAGTTGTTCGTGGAGTAAGATTTTCTAAACAGAAGCAAGGCCAGATACTGTCTGCCACTGACTGATATGAGTAATCATAAACTACTGACGTAGAACAATCGTAATCTACAATGGTGATCCCTGACGAAAGGACGGTTATATCCTGTGTTTGCTGTCAATATATACATACATATATACTTAGAACAACCACCGTAAATGCATACCTGATTTCAAAACGTTTCTGAGGTATCTCGACTGGATTTTTCGTCTATCAGATGCATGATCTGTCTGCTTATCAGTTTCTGAGACGAGTTTATGTCATGCTGTTGGCAATGTTATCGCTCACAAGGAAAGACTTTTATGAGCTATATATATATATATATCACTTCAACAAACCAATGATTGGTGGCAGCGTATACAAACACAAAGATATTCACAGGGCTACATGGGTGTCACCAGATGGGCAAACCAAAAACCAAATTGACTTCATCTCAATCTCAAAGAAGTGGAGGCACAGCCTACTGGACACAAAAGTAAGAAGAAGAGCAGACGTTGGTTCAGACCACTATCTCGTACAAAGGACAATCCAAATCAGATTGAAAGCTTTGAGGGAGACACAAGCTGCAAATAGACCACAAGCCAAGTTCAGCACTCAAAAACTGAAGGACCGAGATACAAAGGACATCTTCATTGCAAGCACAAGGGACAAAGCTGTCTACTATCGCCAATGATTTTCCTGATTGCAGTAGATTGGATAATGCGACAGACAACGGGCAATGAGGAAACAGGCATAAAATGGACTCACACAAAAAAGAACTTGGAGGATCTGGACTTCGCCGATGATGATATATGTCCGATTTCCCACAAACTGGAAGACATACAAGTGAAAAGCAACAAGCTGGCAGAAGAAACATCCAGAGAAGATAGGACTTCAAGTGAACATAGATAAAACAGAGGTGATGAAGATTCCTGGCCAACACCAACAGCAACAACAACAACAGAAAACAATCAGCCAGCATAAATGGGAGGAACCTGAAAGAAACAACTTCCTTTACCTACCCACCTACCTGGGAAGCATCGTTTCATCTACAGGCGGACGAAACTGACAAGGATATCAAAGCCAGAATCGGAAAATCAAGACATGCTTTCATTACTCTTAAGCCTGTGTGGAGGTCAACAGCACTCAGCATCAAAAATAAGATCCGTATCTTGGCCAGCGCGTCATAAAGAGCATCTCAGACAAACTACAGACCTTCATTAACAGTTGTCTTTGTTCAATACTCAAGATCAGATGGCCAACCAGAAATGATCAGCAACAGGGATCTCTGTGAGCAAACCAGCCAGGAACCGATTGTGAAACAAATAGGCAGGAAGAAATGGAGATGGATTGGCCATACTCTGAGAAAACAAACCATCAGGTGACATCACTAGACAAGCCGTCGCTCGAGTGGAACCCGAAAGGGAAGCGGCGAGTTGGTCGTCAGTGTGAGGGTGACTTGGAGGAGGTCATGTGAAGAGGAGATGAGAGCGTGTGGGCAGACTCGGAGTGGGGTGAAAAAGTTGGCAGAATACCGAAGGCAATGGAGACGCGCAGCTGAAGCCCTATGTTCCTCTAGGAATTAAAGGATATAATATATATATATTCCATGTAACTGAATGTTATTTAGATACTTTGAAGCTGTCAGAGGTGGAGGAGATTAAATACTTATTGAAGCCTTCATTACGCTTATCACAACCTTCAGCAACAGAAGTGATACTGTCATCTTGTTGGGAATGGTTTATCCCCCGTGAAAGCCGGTTAGAATTCATAGCCCATTGAATTCCTTCTCAGTTACTGTGAGATCGACAGGCTTATCTAGTAAAATGAAGATATCAGGTTCAATCCCCGGCAGTTGCGTCATGGATGCATACTGATGAAGAGCCAAAAGCCAGGACGAAACAGTTTCCTAGTACCGCCTGATTTTTGTTATCTCTCCAGCTGATGTCAGGTTGTGATCTGACTTAAAGTCATCAGTGTCGAATTGTTCTCACACACTTCACGTCAACTTGTATATCTCAAACATGGCAATAAAAGAAACACAATAATTTATTGCTGTGTTTAAGATACAATGCGTTTTCTTGAAGCTGATGGATAACCTAAGCGAATTTTATCAAACTAATATGAATCTTGCCTCACCTAGATTAATAGACAAATGATGGATATTACCACATCTCATGACCATTATTTTGAATAAACATTCGCTATGTAGCTGCCATAATCCACCAACCAATTAGTAATAAGAAAAAACTGGCTATCGACTAAAATTCTTCTTATTCATATTTAATTCTCAGATAAAATGGTATGTATAAAATGTGTAGTTGGACGCTTTATTGCTTAACTATACTGATTATACATTGTATGGAGAAAGCTTTCATTTCGGATTTTACTGAAACAACTTAATTCCTCACTTTAGAATATGCGCGTAACAAATAGTTACTTCAAGTTTGATCATGAGACGACCTCAGTTAGAGATTCATTGAAAAGCATGCAGTGCTGGACATCTGCTTCGTCCTTGCTTGAGACTCTTCATATGGGGCACCCATGACTATTCTGGAGATCGAACATTTATTTCGTTCACATATTATTTATTTGAGGTCACGCATTCCTTCTCATCCAGTATTGATCTGTAGTCAAGTGGCCCTCGCTCTCACAATTTAAATGATGGGTGGAGTGTTTTCGTTTGGATGAAACACCCACTCACCAGCCTTCAGTAGGAAAAAACGTATAAATTCCGCTATTGGTCAACAGTAATTTAACATGTTCGCGTCTGAATAGTCTACTTCTCTCCTTTGATATTTCATAATAGGCCTGAATGTCTTTGTGGTGGAAATACAACAGATATATTTTGTGAGGTGGCACCTTTTCAGCTGAATCTAACGGCTGCAATTTATAAGCAAGTGAGTTTCATTTTGCCAAAGCTTCGCATCAATTAAATTTATGAATGTGTTAAATCTCTAAGAAATGTTAAAATCCAGACTACTGGAAATTAAAGTCAATATACAGCTTGTTACACAGCTTGTCACACTAACTACATCAGATAACGGTTGCATATGATATGTAGGCGAATAATAGTAAACAGATGACTTTGTCTGTGAATAAAGAAATCCAGAGGAATTAGTCAGACGAACTGTCTTTTGAAGCAGAAACTTTTGTGGTATAATATACCTAGAGTTAAGTTGCAAAAACTGTATCTCAGCAAAAATATACAAATAAATATCAGCATATGATATTGGTTACTCGCTAATGATGAACCCATGTATCTATTAAGTCCTTCAGGAGGTCATTTGGGGTATGGATATCTCTTCAGTAACGTCATTGACTGTGGAACTGACTGAAGCTGGCACGAATCTTCGGACGAACATCAGTTTCTTCTGTCTTGTAGATGCTCCCTGTTGACAAGAGCCAATAAACACGGAACCTAGGTCAAGAGTTCCTTACAGATAGCCTCCAACTACCTATTATCAAATATGGTCTTAGTAATCTGAAACAAAATTATGCTGGATTTCAGATGCAGTTTTTCAATTGAAGAACCTATAGTCCAAAAGTGTTGGTTTTAAGATCGTCTAAAAGTAACCTTATAAATCAAAGCACTGATTAATAGACGAATAATGTGCTGTAGGATTGCTCCTCCAAGTTCTGCAGCTACATGTCCATTTAGCTGGAGAATGATTGTTTTTAATACTATTTATATTTTTATAACATCAAGTGGTGAAGATCACAGGTCAAATAAGCTTCACACCGGGAAAGTTTATGAATCCTGCTTCTGTATACTGCCAAATGTTTATAAACTAGAAAGGTGAAAACCAAAAACTTTTCTTAACCAAACTAACAAGTATCAAGGCTAAAGATTTATTCTAAATATTTACGTAATTCTGTTTACTGTTTGCCTTACTAAGTCTATTTTGAACATTCTGTCTGGAAAACAAAAATCACAATGTACACTGCCATTATCCACTAAAAACTGTCTTTAGCATGCCAAAGTTAATTTAGACAATACTATGGTGGTAATAATAAAAGCACTTGATCAAGTCTGACATATTTTTATATATTCTTTTCCTTAAGCTATATGGAACGAACCTGGAGGACGACATAATTAAATCTACAAGTGGAAATCAACGAGAATTGTATTTAGCACTGCGTAAGTTTAAGTATTTATCGGAATATCAGATCCACAGCTAGCGCTTTAGTGTAGAAGCTCATTTACCCTCAAATAGGCGTTTTCTGAATGCAACTCAATTTCATCTATGACAAAACCTTAATTGTATACATGACATTGTCTAATAACGAAATCATGGATGCGTCCTACTATATTTCAGTCTCATCAACATCTCAGTAGGTTCTATTCTTCTCTCTGAGTCCACTAGAAAGCTGTCTGGCTTTTGAAATAGTAGGTATCAGATTCGTCCTATAAGTAATCCCAATGTTCGCCAGAATGAAGTCATACCCATATGACTAATATGATTAATATCAATATTCATTCGTTACGTTCCAAGCAGAATATGGGGCTTCAACAGCACACCTCCATTGTTCTCTGTTCTCTGTAGTGTCTTCCGACTGATCTAAAGACTACCCACAATCTTATACTTCCCAATGACATGGTCTACTCAATATCATCCTCAGAGGCACAATCTGAGGTTCCTCTCGGTGGCCTAGAGAGTTATGTTACTTAAAGGTCTTCTCAGCGTTCGACCTATTTCTATCTTTTTCTGCATGTTTATTTGACAACAGTTTGTTATTGGGCTCCTTACCAGAGTTTCTTGTGACTTATCCTTCCCGACTGGCCATCTCTTCTTCAGTATCTAGCCGACTTGGGTAGTGTTGATAAAAGTCTCTAGTCTGTTAGAAATGCTTTCAGTGACGTGTGTCTAAATTCGTTTAGTTGTGTAAGAGCGTCGACTGATTTTACATTGGTGTTTGAAATTCAGATCTCTTCGCTTGCACCCAGTACAGTAGATCTTCATAATGATTCCAGAGCTATGTATTTCTGTCTTGCATTCTTGATCCCATAAAGACAAATATCAACTAGAGTGAAGTTATCAGCACACAAGTCAGCAAAGATAACTCTTTCCGTAACTTCTTTTCGAATCTGTAGAGTCATTAAGAGGTTAACACAGTGTTCTCTAACAAACGTCGAAGGTTATTATCAGCCAGTAACAAAAGTAAACCAAATTGTAAAAGAAATAGAGATGTTAGTAGAATGGTGACTGAAGGCAAGCACTGGGAAACAAGACCATAAAGGACTTGAAAGTGTGTCGCAGAATAATTACATAGACTTTACTATGCAGCATATCGAGAAAATAAAACTCACACTAAGACCACAGCAGAAAACGAGGCTATATACAACGTGTCTCAATAAAAATTTCTGGCTTTTACGTAGAAATGATGGAAGCTTCAGTCACTTGAAGCAAATGTGAGCGAAATCTTTTTGTAGGGTTCATACACTTTTCAAATGACCCTTGATGATATTTCTGCTAATGCCGCACTGCCAGAAGCAAAATTTGGGCTACCGATATCACATACTGAAAATTCCATGCCTGTACCAACAAAATACGGTGTGGAATCAAGCTGCAATCAAAAAATAATAATACGCTGTATAATTGAGGTATTGACTTTCCTACGTTCTTTTATAGAGAACCCCCATAGTGTGTCTCCATAAGCGCACTTAGACAATGTCCCGCTGGTAAAGCCTATGGACTTTAATCCGCAAAAACTTCAGAACTGGTAAACATACATTGAAATTACCAACAGTAAGGTAATGGATTTGACACTTTCCTGAACAAGAACATGGGTAGAGAAGGTGAGGTGCAGAGCTGCGGCAGAGAACATTTTTCAGACTGTTCTCGACAAATAACATCAGAAGACTTCATCAACTGTATACCATTAGTATTTTAAATCTATAATTATTTGTTCTTTTAACAAATCAAGGCCTTTTGAACTCTCCTTAAACTTTTGTTGATGAAATAGATTTGGTAACCATTTTTAACAAGTGTTTCTGAAAGACTCCAAAATTATCGTCGTCAACCTCATTTCTGGCCGATACCAAATATGTAATCGAATTGATATAGCTCACGGAATGCATTTCCAGTGGGAGACGTATTTATCTGTAGTTTTCACTTCAAAATTAATGTGATAAAGTGATAGCTATTTTAAGATGAGAGCTATAAGTTTTAAAATGGAACGGTTTTCGATAGTGTATATCCCTTCCTGATATGTCACATTGACTTTAAAACGCAGCAAAAGAGTGTCGTCAGATCAACTATAAGCAGTTCAATTCCTGACCAAGGATGAATCGAAAAATCTTTTGGACCTTGAGTTTCTCTTCACTTATTCAAATACATGGTGAGAATAAACCAATTTGAATCTCAACTGAAACATCAGAGACAAATTTAAATATATGTTAGTAAACCACAAATCAGTGAAGCGATAATGTGTTTAATAAAGGACGAAAAATACCTCTTAGATTCTAGGAAGTTCATCTGTAGGGGTTTGATCAGTATAAGTTAGAATTCATGGGCCATTGAGTCAGGTCCTAACAGCTAAGTAGTCTGTGAGCTTGTCTTGCGATTGGAAGATCCTGGGTTGGAGCCCCGATAGGTGAGCTTTACTGAAATTTCCCAAACTAGGACAAAACAGCTGTCCAATACTCCCTGGTTTTCAACGGTTCTCTAACTCATATCAATCCATGGTTAAACTCTCCAATCCTATTTGGATATAAAATGAATATTGAATTATTTGTGCCATCTGTTGAAAAAATCAATTAAATCAAAGTATGAAGAATTCTTGTCAATGACTCTTCTTCTTGCCTTTCAGTTAGTCTTACTGTCATCAGAAAATAAGCTTTCTTTCCAAATAAAACTGAATTAAATGCTTTTAAACATGCTACTGAAAGCAGTAGCATGGAACTTTGTGGGAAGCTTCAATTCTCTACCGCTCGTTATGCATAGCGGTAATACGTATATACACTATTGTGCGTCGGTTGCACAGTGGTTAGGAATCTCGCCGACCAAGCACATGATCCAGGGTTCGATCTCCTGCCGACGCACACTTGATATCAATGGTTGACCTGCAAAATTTGGGTTGCCGATATCACATGCTGAAAATTCCATATTTGTATGAAAAATACTGTGTGGTTTCAAGCTATGATCAAAAAATATATATCTAATGACTCCTATTTTTTCAGTAAGATATGGAACAAGCAGAGGAGAATTGTATGCAAAGCTACTTCATGCAGTGCTAACGAAAGCAGAGGTGGATTATGAAGTGCTTAATCGTATCGTCATCACACGATCAGAAGTAAGCACATCATTTAAATTTTACTCACTTGAATACTAGTGATTTACAGATATTTCTGCTAATCTTAGGTAGTTATTGGCTATTTGAAGCTGAAGAACATTGGGGTGAATACAAGATTCATGTTAGAAGTCTGCTACCCTAACGCTTACCATTTGAATTGCTTATGAACAGTTAGCTAAAGTATATATATATATATATATATATATATATATATATATATATAGTCCATTTATTACTACAGGCCAGCTGAGAGACCAAAACTATGAACACAAATTAACCAACTAATGGTGATTCGTTAAATTCACAAATCCATATTGCTGATGGAAGTTCGTGTCACAAACAAAAAATGTTCCTTTTGACTTTCGATTGTTGAAAGTTAATCAACAGTTTAGTGGCTCTATCAAAATAAATCTCGCTATGTATAGAGGATTTAGCAGAAACACAGTTAATAAATTCCCATAAGCTCTATTTTTGTTAAATTAACTTAATTCATTATCATCTATGCGAAATGGAATTATGAATTATTTAAATTTGAGGAATTTTATGATAATTTACCTAAATAGTGTGATCCACAGATCCTAAATGATCACTTATCAGAATAAGTGTAATCACAACTAATTTTCAATATGTTTGCGTTCAATTTATTTTCATTAATATGTAATGTGTACTAAGCTAATCCACAGCATCTTATAGTTCGTTTGATTACAGTTATTAAATCACATATGTTATGGTATACTTATAACCAAGTTAATTCATTGGATTAGTTATTCGTCTAGAGATCAGATTTAAAACGAGTGAGTAACAGATGCTTATAACATCAGCTATCTTACAATAGGTGTGGCTAGTCTGAGAACGTGCGGACTTGCCGGCGTAAACGAACGGACTCATCGACGATTTGTAAAATGTGTCGTCGACACCTTTTCAGTATTGTGAAGCGCAGTTTTATGATGGAGGTAGATTAGCTTAGAAGACAATACCTGAGACTGAACAAAATATTCATAGTTTATCCTATAGCAGGATATGCAAAATTATTGTCCAGACTGTTCAATTATTCTCGAATAGTGTTCATGAGAAATCAAATGAAATTCATTTAAAACAATTTCAAGACTAGCTTGTTTATTGGTAATATTCCATGAACTCAATGACTGTATGACAAAAAGACTTCCTATCTCTACTCAGTCGTGCGAATTTTGAATCTACTTTAATAAGCGAACAAAATTTCAACTGAAGATTTAATACGTGAAAATCGTAGGAACTAACAACTGTGACATTATTATTCAGCATTTTCAAATATCATTAGAGCGAGTCAATTCAACTAAACAACAGATATCTCATAAAATGTCTTTCACTCCAGTCAATAAACTTTTTTTGATGTATCAACATTTTTTTCCTTCAGTGCAATAGTATATATATACTAAGGCTCCGAGATTTTTATGCTTGACTTCCAACCACCTGGTCACAAGTTTCTACTCCTTTCTGTTAAGTGAGATTCAGGAAGTTAGGTAATGTCTTGATGAGGCTCACTTTTAACTGCATATAAATGCCTTGGATACTGAATGACGTTTCATTCCTGCTCCTGTAAATTCTGGAATTAAAATTCCTGGAACAAGATTTGTCCCACATCTAATAGACAAACTTAAGACTGAACTATACCCCAACAAAAGTATCCAGATCTTATCGTTTAACCTTAAGCGTTCAGACCTTTGAAGAATTTATGAACTACATTGCATATGTTCATATCATGCTTAATTAAATACCACAATGGAGTCATTTAGATTTTTTCGATCAGGCTTACATGTTTCATTAGTCTATTCCTTATTTAATGCTTAGCCATTCTTATGTATATATACATATATAGATGTAATTGTTCTTATTAATATTGTTTTTCATTTCCCATTTCAGATTGACATGGACGACATAATACAAGCGTACAGAAGACTTTATGGAAGGCCTTTAGCTGACCAAATAGCATCTAGAACTAAAGGATACTACAGATTGTTGCTGCTCACATTATTGGGTCACAATCAAAAATGTCCCTTCTATCCTATTGAAAAGTGTTAATTATCACTGTTTCGATAAGCATTAAATAATAAATAAAATAAATAGTTTTGAAACACGAATAATATGATCTAAATACTTTCTAAAGTTATATTTGTCAAATCTTGATCACAGTTCGTATGAACTAAACACTTTCTGTTGCTAGACACATCATCAAAGCAAGAAGTCAAGAGAAGTTGAAAATTATCATTAATTTTTTTTAATTATTATTCTCTTGCTCTTTCAGTGGAACAAAGAGCTTCAAGCTTCAGCTCTAAAGTTTCAGTGGTGGTGGAATTTATTTTCACAGGGTAGAGTTGCTAGTCTCACGCTTGACCTTTCCTTTTTGTAGAGGTTAATGAGTGAGTGTCAGTCGAGGGCCGAACCCTGGACAGCGTGCGTCGTTGGCAAGTATTCTACCACTCAATCACCGACTTAATACTTTCTGGTGATGTTCCTACCGTTTAACACGTAACCAAACCAGGAGGTCGACAGGATTTGAAAATTATCACTACATCCGTTAGAGAAATCATATGCACAAGAATATAGGAACCATGGTATTGTTATTATCATTATTGCATTACTGAAAACACCTAATGGTTTCAGAGGCATTCCATCTACTTCAAGTAATCCACTCAATTAAAACACAGGTAACTTCCAAATGCTAGAATTTCTGTAGACAGACTAAGTGTAGCCGTCATCCATCAAGTTTCGAAAAGTAGTAGTCACATGCAGCGAATTGACAGGAGTCTGCAAAAACCATTAACTGTCTGACTCCAGACAATTCGGTAACTGACACATAAAGTGTCAGCATTGTAATATGACAGCTCTGAAGTGAAGACGGTACGACTATCAGTTCTCTTTAGCTCTTGGTGGTTAGTCCCTCGATTTTTGGCTAAATAGCCTAGAGAAAAATAACGACTGATTCTGTGAACGTGTTATCTACTACTACTACTTAGATTTACTGTAAAAGCTAATGTAATCTTATGTCAGTTTCACTTCCTCAGTGAGGCTTTTCGGTGTACTACTCAGACTTCTCCTGCGATTGTTTAGTATTTAGTCAGGTGTGACATTGGTGATTTGAAGGTAGATGATCTTCAGTTAAGTATCTATCGGAATATAGTTATCATGTACAGTTTAACACTGTTTATCCCTATTGTTTAATTACTGACTCGGGAGTAAATTTGATCCAGTCTACTAAAGAGTTTAGATGTGTGAAGAAACTTGTGATATATTCTGTTAAACCATCATCCACATATCTCCATCATACTTTTTGACAGGATTTAGTGTTTTAACTGTGAGATATTTCAAAATATCCATGAATATATAAGCAATGAATTAGAATATCGCAGTCCAGTCGCTAGTCCTCCCGTTTATTTATAAGTCTATTGTATGACTATGTCTTTCATCGAATGAAATTATTCTCTAGTGGAAGTTTAATCCAATATAGTGTATACGTTCAACGCCTATATCCAAAATCACGTATATTCAAAACATAGTCTACTTTAATAACACGTTTATCCTACTTTACACACTAATTGTGTGAAATTTGAATCTACTCCTCAAATATGGCTAACGATTAGCTTTAAATATTGGCCAGTCAGAATGCCCTGTCACAACCGGAGTCAATCGAGTTGGCTGCATACTTCCAGAAGTTGTAGACAACTGGTTCGAAAGAATAGTATGTCAGCTTATGAAAATGTTATTCTTTACTAGATTAGCGGATAGATGAACTGAAACCACTTAGAGAATCACTGAAAGTCAGTCGTTTCGTTCTGATTCCAAACTCTCCAGCATTAAGCACCTCTAACTCCAAGAATCTTATCCAGGACCTCTAAACTACGCGGCAACCTTTTTGACCATTGAGCAACCGAGACGTAATCTAATGATCCATGTATTTTAACTTTTTACCCACTTCGAGATACACGGCACCACCATCAGTCGGCTAGTAATTCGACCTGAAACCGACCAAATCCTTGGAAAGCAGTATTTGGAAACTGGATAGGACTGCTGAGATTTCGAAATTTAATAGGTTCGTTTGTGAAAATCTTTTCCTGTATATCAATAAAAGCTTAGCAAAATAAATAGCTTATGTAATTTTGCACATTATACTCATTCTTGCAATGGTTTCAGTCAAGTGAAAAGATCTCTATATTGGTACCCCATAGAATTATGGTCGATTTCAGAGAATCTTTACAGTCAAGTTACATACAAAAAGTTAACCCTACCGGCGTAATGGCTTTCTGCCTGTAAGTGTTTACACGGAGAGTAATAACTGTATGAAAACAAACCAGCTAATACAGCTGTGTCGTATTACTGTATAATGTTTGTTTGTCAGTCTGGTCCTGTGTAATAGATCAGCGACACGGGTTTCATGTGAATATGGCTTTGATAAGGTGTCTAGAATAACTTCCCAAATCTCAGTTTCGTTGATACCTTTATTAGCCTTTCATTGGAGAAATATTTTATGCTTTCAGATAGGATTTCGTGTCAAAGTGGTGTAAGCTACAAAAAAGCCGAAAATTGAGGACAGGCCTTTTTTCCTTGCTTTGGAGCCTTTTAATAGATTCAGCTTTGATCCTATGACATAATAAAACCCCCTCCGTCACATCTTCCCGAGAAGACGATAATATTCCATTAGTGAACTGAATTACAAGCAATACTGCAACTTTGTCAAGTCCCACTGTCATACGTTCTTATTAGGTTACCTGAAAATCTGCTCCATGTTCAGCAGTACATTTGATCATCAGCATTTGCTGCTGAAAAGATGTAAAAAGTGTCCACATATCTATCATTCTGTTGCTAGTGATTAAAATGTCTTTGAAACTGATCATACTCATTGATACATGAATTGATTACCCGTTGGTAATTCATGTGGATATTCAGCTTTCATTTTGTCAACAGAAAATCCATCGACTAACGAGTCAGTATGCGAAATGATAGTGAACTACAGTATATGATAATCTGCTTTGTTTCGGTGACTGACCTGGTTGTTAAGTGACATAGATTCAAAACTTGAACTTTTACTAAAACAGATTAAAGGTCTTTCTAGTATATCCATTGAGCCCTTAAGCGTGCTGTGAATAATAAATTATGTTAAGATCTTTTCTTACTTGTAAAACAGGAAAATTTGTAGTAGTACTGTGTCAATATTGAAATAACCCATGGTTTGTATCTGGTGGTTAGGAGAGATTCTCTGAGGTTCTGCTTACTTCAGATTTAGTCCCTATTTGTAGTCTTTATTGGTGTACACAAACATTCAAGCCTGCGTCATCCAAAGTTGGAGTTAGTAACGTTACCATTGAGCATCTGATTTTCCAGGTCAGGTACAATAAGAGGTTTTCTCTGACATATTATAACAAGTATGAAACTAATGTCCCCAATGATAAACCGTCTTCTAATACTGTGACACTAACTATGTATACTAACACAAGAGTAGTATACTGGACTGTCGACAGGAATATTTATAGGAAAAGGCGTTCAGTCGATTAACATTCCTAAAAGAAAGCCCAAGGCCGAGAGCAAACGACGAAGCCACAAGATGGTTTAGAACCAGTGTTCAACAAGTATTAAATGTAGTTATTCCAAATTAATGATGCTATCCACCATCAGCAATACTGCCTTCAACACAATATTTGAATTGCATCTATCCAATCGCTTAGTCTCTAAGGTAATTTCAACACGGAATGATCACGCCTGTAAATTACACGTCAGTTGTTTAGATCAAACTTTGAAGTCCTTACTTTTTTTCACCGCTTACATCACATTTTATTCATGTACCACACTACAGCTGTATGTGGTTAACAAAATCCATCTATAGCTAAGTAGTAACATCATCGACACATAATATTTTATTATTATTTATTATTTCTATGGGTTTTGAGTGGAACATAAGGCTTCAGCAGCATATCTTCATTTTGTCCTGTACTCCGAGGTTCTCTTTGGCTGACTGCACAATTACCCATAGGTTGTTTTCTCCTCCATGTCGCCAGTGGACCTAAGCTCAACTCGTCGTTTCCCATTTGGATTCCGTTCGTGAAAACCCCTGGCGCACGACGTTCGGGCCACCTTCATTTCCTTCGGTATATTTGTCAGGATATATAATCCTGGTTATTTCATTTTCAAAGTTTCCTACTGCTTATTCTTTCTGTCCGTCTGATCTCCACTATGGGGTAAAAGGCATGTGCTGACAAAAGTCTGAAACCTTGATTCACCAAGTTCCCGGTCCACACAGGAGAATTGACTAACTTGACATAGGTATTTAAATTCCGAATTTCGCTCTTTAAACTGAGTGCGGAAGATTCTCGATTTTATTTCAGAGTGAAATAGGTCTGTCTTGCCAGTCCCAATCAGGTTTTGACATCTTCATCCGTTCCGTCTGTAACTGGAAGAATGCTGCTCAGATAATTGGAACAAGATACGTTTTTCAAATTTCTTCCATTGGTGGAGACTGGTGGTTGTTGTTGTCAATACGTAATAATCAATAATAATAGGTTTATCATGAGAAACGTTTTTCAAACTCACTAAATAATTTTCAGCGTGTTCTATTGCACAGTGTTCACCCTTTCTGCAAGCTTCTAGAGCAATACAGTAGTGGATAGTATGTCATTCGTAGCGATAATGTTCCATTCTAAGCATCCATCACTAATCCAGTAAGGTTTCCATCCATATGCTTCGAAAGGTTTATAAAAGTAGGTCTGAAATCTAATTTAAAATTAGCACGAGAGTACGCTGCAATTCTTTGAATGTAATTGAGTGATTAAAGCAATAGAAAATACAGTAAATATGATACATTTTGATGATTGGAAGACAGTTGTTAAACCGCTGACTTGAATGGACCATGAAGTAATGGTTTGAAGTAAAAATTAACTGAGTGGTCTAATTCGCTGAGCAGTAGTCACTGTATATGCTTATTGCAAATACTGCATTAAATTATCATGGTTATCGCGAGGAGACGGGAAAAAGCTGGACCGCAGATAAAAAAACTCTATAAGAGCTGGATTTCGCAGATGGTATACATATAA